ATTCCCAAAAGCAAATCTAATCATGTTACTGCTCAATTTAGGTCTTCATCTGGTTTCCCATGGGTCCTGGAAAGGTGTGTAAACTTTTTTGGCGTGGCCCAAAATGCCTTGCATGACCTGGTCTCTGAGTATCTGTCTGTTCTCCCTCCTTACTGCCAGCCCCTGATGCCTTGGAGCAAGGATGAGCTGTGCTCCCTCTGCTAGGCACATCTGTCCTACTCTCATCTGCTCAGTGAAGTCGTCTGTCCAGTCTAAGCTCATGAGTCATCTGTTCAAACCTTTTGCCAATCTCCTCTCTCCCATTTTTGTCCCCTTTTTCCTGTACCTATTTGTGTCATAGTACCCATAACACCAGGGCACTTAGGTATTTACGTGTGTGCTTCCCTATCCTGGGAACAGAGTGCCTTGGTGGCAAGGCCTAGGTCTTACACACTGGGATTCTATTCCTGGTGCCTCATGCCTAGCAATTGTTCAATAAATGTTTGTTGACTAAAGGAATGGACGAGCCCTCCTAATCTGACCTCCTGTTCTCAGAAAATGGATGAGAATCTCTAAGATACTGGATGCTGTTGAGGAGATTGTTGTTTGCCCCTTCCACAAGGGGCCCTAGAATCATCTGCAAGGAGATAAAGCAGCCCACAGGCACACACCATCCGTTCATCTTCCTTAACTGTAGCAACTCTAGACCCCAGGGGGGCAAACATAAAGATAAACTATATCACAACCATGGGCTGGCTTGGTGAACGATGCATTTTTAAGCCAAGATGTGACTTTAGATTTAGTGGAAAAAACACAGGATTTAAAGCCAGAAGACTGGGGCTTGAGCCTGGCCGCTAGAATTTATTAACGTATGATTTTAGTCATGTAATATCTCTGAACTCTAGTTGCTTCCTCTCAGAGCCCAGGGATGAGAGGTCCTGCTCACCTACTCCTCAAGGCTGCTCTAGACTGAAATGAGGTTATATGTAAATGTTCTCTGAACTTCTGTGGTGCTGGGTGAGCCCCACTGTCCTTTTACTAGGGGTCTTGCTTGGAAGGGAGAACGTGCCCCATGCCTCAAACATCCCAGAGACATCAGGCTTAGGGCAGGCCAGCTGGGAACCTTCAGCAGAGAAGGCAACCACCACTTAGACATCTGCAGAGGCAGTTTTTAAACACAGAGAACATGGAGGAAATACCACAGAATTTATGGAGTGAAAGCTTTAAAAAGAAACACAAGACTTAAGTCAAAACAGTTGACTCAACTCTGGGGAAGATGTCTGCCTGGACGGAGGAGGAAAAAAAGGATCGACTTGGGGTGGGTTGAGACAGAAGAGAAAGCTCTGTGGGGTGTCCCACCAGGTGGGGCAAGTGGGCACTTCCACACACAGCTCGAGGCAGGGGGAATGGAAACCACCTCAAGGGAGGTAAGCGGTCGCCAGCATTTTTGAAAGGCACATCGTTGCGCGCAATGCTCCCGTTTCTAAGAATGTCGCTTCAGATAGCCTTCCCCAAGGCCGTAGCGATACATACAAGGATGTTCCTGGTGGTCTCATTTGTGGTTGGGAAAGCTTGGAAACAATACAAATGTCAATCAGTGAAGGACAGGCTGAATGAATCACAACACGTCTGTACAGCAGAGCCAGTGACGTATCTCTCTAGGTATGACGTAGAAGGATATACGCGTGATACCAAGTGCAGAATAGCATGGGTGTGATGATCTTGTTTTCATAAGACCTGAGGACATACCTATGTTTGCATATGCATAGAAAAAAGGATGTGGGAAGACACACACTAATTTGTTAACAGAGTTTGTCTCTCGGAGTTGGAATTATAGAAGATTTTTTATACAGGTCTATAAAGTTGATTGTTTTTAATAGACATACCATTAAAAAGAAAATATTCAGAAAGTAAAGGCCTGATGTTTAATTATGGTAAGCATGATGGCGACACTCTGCCCTTCATCGCAGAAAACCCCCAATGTGTCCTTGCTTTACGTCACAGATTCCAAAATTGTGATACATTCTTAATTATGTTATTCTCTGATAAAAATGCTTATTATCTCTCATATCCGACCCTTCCACTTTGTTTTGGTTTATTTACTATCCACAATTCACTGAGTGTTATCTCTGCTTTGAGGCTAGTGTGGAAAGGGTACAATGATCTCTCCACAGCGTTTACAGCTCCCCCAAATCACATAGAAAGAGCTCCAAAGATATTAGTCAGAGGAATGAATGAGTAAACTCAGTCACTTGGGGAAAAGAACAACCCCTCAAGAAGGTCAGACACCTCTGAACCAGCCACCTCTGAACATGCAAAGGTTCTCTGTGAACAGGGCAGGACCCGTTCCAGGTGCATGGGCAACATGTCTGTGGGGAGACACGAGGAGTATATTCTAGATGAAGAGCCCGAAAAGAGAGACGGGAGACCCAGGTTCTATCACTAGGCAGCAATGGGACTTTGTACCAGTCACTTTTTCTTTCTGGGTTTTTATTTCCTCCTCCGTAAATAAGCGTTAGATTTGGCCAACCTCTCTCAAAGCATGCTCCTAAGAACACCACATCTGGGATGTGTTAATAAATGCCCCTTAACAAGAATTCTGTGGTCAAATACACTTGGGAAATGCTGCTCTCCGCATGCTAGCCTTGGAGCTCCACAATGCACATTAGCAAGTTCAAGTCTCTGAGAGGTCTTTCAGGAAATAAACTTACTTTATCAATGCTGACACCAGCATTTTCTCACATTTATTTCACCTTGGAATCTTCACATTTTTTTCATGAGCATCTCGCTGATACATACACTGATCTTAGTAATACCTGAGGTCTTTCCAGCTCTCAGAATCCATAACCATAATGACGTGTTTCTTTCACACCAGCTTGTTCTGCCCTGACACCCCATACCGTGGCCACTGTGGCCGAAAGCATCATATCTCAGATGGCCCTCGATGAAGCATACCTCTGCTTTGTGAGTGGGAATATAGAGATCCCTTAACTGTGTGTCAAGGTCCTGATCAAATGGGACAAAGGAGATGTAGAATATGGAGAGGGGAAGAAACATCCAAAAGGGCTGGGCTGAAGCACGGGACACTTGGGTGCAGCTGTTGCGGGCACCTAAGTAGGAATGAAAAACCGGGAGGCAGGGCAAATGGTCAGAGAAAAGGGAAGTATTTGGAAGGTGCTTGGTCCTTGTGTGGTTTGCTAGCTATTTGTGGCTGTGGCTCATCTGGATTTAAATCCCATTTGTGTATCGATGCCTTCCATGTTTGAATACAATCTTTTGATTAAGAGAATGGACTTGGGAGTCGTATGTCCCGTGCCTTAGTTTCTTTTATAAGATAGGGTTGATAAAAAGCTTTGCCTCATAGTGTTATTTATGAAGATGAAATAAGTTAACGCATACGAATGCTCTTAGAATAGCAACTGGCCCATAGTAAGTCCTACATAAATGGCATTGTTGTCATTCATTACTGTTAGTTATATTTTCAGCCAAGATTCCTCTCTGACTTGACAACTCCACTCAGATGTGTCCCAGGCATCTCAGACTAAACAGGAGCCAAATTAAACTCTTGATTTTTCCCACCAATACCCCAACTTCCCCATCTCAGGAAATGTCACCTCTACACATACACTCACAGCTCAAGTCAGGAGCCCAGGAATCAGACTTGTCTCCCCCTTCCCTTTCACATTCCATCCACCGGGAAGTTCTGCAGTCGACTGCTAAATATATTTCAAGTTCATCTATGTACTTCTTTCTACTTGCATCCCTGCTCTCGTCCGAGCAGGCTCATCTCAGGATAAATGACTAGTCTTCTAAGCGGTCTCCCTGCTCTTCCTCTTGCTCTTCTCCAACACATTCTCCCTGTGCAGCCAGAATGCTTTTAACAAACATAAATATGAACATATTAAAACCCTAAGTGGCCCATAAAATGAAGCCCACGCTTCTCACCATGGCTTTGTGCTGTCTAGCTTCTGTTGACCATCTCCCTGTCTTCCCAGCTGCCTCCCTGAGTTGGCCCGCTCTACTCCAGCAGGATTAGCCTCTTTCCAGTTCCCACACATGGGAATTCCTTCCCACCTTACAGCCCTTATCTGTGTCACCATTTTTGCCCAGAAGGCTTTGCCCATGGCTCTCTATGTGATGGGCTCCCCTTCAACTGAGAACCTCAGCTCCAAACTTTCTTTTCTAGATAGATTTCCCCTATAACCCTCTCTTAGTGGGTCACTCTAGTTGTTCTCAGTCATAGCTGTGTGTTCATGACCTTCAGAGCAATTACTTCTTTGTCTACCTGTCTATTGTCTGTCTCTCCCCAGAGAAATTTTCCCAGAGTCTGGTACTACTTCTGTTTTCCAAACACTGTAAACTCAGCTAAGAGCCTGGTGCCCCACACATACCGAATGAATGGATGAATGTCATGGTGCATGAATGACTCACTGTCTAATACACCCTCCCCATTACTAAAAGTGTAATATGCTGACTAATAAGCAAAAAATAATTCTGTCTACTTTAGTCAGATAAGCTCAGAACTAGAACAAAGGACCAACGCATGAGCCTGTGGATATGCTTTTAGATGTTCGAAAAATCCTCTGACTCATGATGAGAGTGCTGACACAGGGCAAGATCTCTGTTCCAACAGCCAGTCATCAAGGGCCCCTCGGACCCCAGGAACCAATGAACTTTGTGGGATCGATGTCCTCAATGCAGCCAGTATTTTCCATCAGGCTGATACCTGACCCAAACTTTTTCTGGGACATTCAGAGTCTCCTGACCCATATCTTTACTGAATTATGAATTAATTTTTTTGAAGGGGAGTCTTTTCTTGTAGACTACTCAGACTTCTCATCAGAGTAGAAATCTCTGGTTGCAACCACGTAGCTTCTCAGCAAACATGGGACCAGTTCAGCTGCTAATTCCCAGGGGAGTTAACATAAATGTTTATTGACAGTGCAGTCCTCAAGAAAATAAAGTTGCTGATTCACTGCCTTACACTGAAACTCTGTGTTTCTTCCCTCCTCTTCCTTCCTCTTTATAAGGAGACACTCTGATGAACAGCACATTTTGGGGACCCACTTGGTGTGTGTGTTCTTGGTTGCCTGTTCCTTCTTCCGTCTGTACAGCGTGGTCCCTGTAACGGCAGGGGCATCAGCCTCCCTCTTTCCTCTGGAGGACCGCCCCTCTTGGGACTCTGAGGAACAATGGAAGTCTTGGGGTTTCTCAAACTGGAAGTGAATGGCCCCATGGTGACAGTGGCCCTGTCAGTGGTCCTCTTGGCCCTCCTGAAATGGTAAGTGTGGCCAGCAGGTTCCCATGACTGTGACAATGTCAGAAACAGCAGCCCTGGAGCCTTGCTGGAGCCAGGGAGGGGTATGTGGGAGTGTGTTTTTCTTCTTTTCTAATCTAGAGGGAGTTGAGTATTAACACAGCCTCAGAATTAAAAGCAAACAGCCAGGTTAATCTTTTGCTAAAATGCATGAGATCGAGGTGTCAGGAAAGGCTGGTGATTCAGTGACTGAGAGCACTACACATAATTAAGTTTGCAAGAGATGGAAAAAGAAACAAGTTGGAAAGGTTTGGGGAGAAGTATTTCCTCGTACCCATCATATCTTCCACCTCACTTTTCTGAGATCCTCTCCCCCTGTTGGATTTACAGCAGATTCAGCTCTCGGTTCATATGCCATTAAAAACAAAAAGGACATCGGAGCTGTCTGGCATCGTGGACCACTTTGCAGGAGGTCATTCACAGGGATTTCTGCAGGTTTAAGGACAAAGTGGTGGAACTGATTGAGTAGTTTTCTGATATTTGATAGAAGGGAATGGATTCTGATGAACATAGCGTGTGCCGTGCCCACAAAGTTTGAGACCCCGAAAGGACCTCGGATTTGAACTGAGAGCAGCTGCCTGTTATTTTGTTAATTCAACAGGAGGCTTTCTGAAGTTTGGCTCTGCCGAAGGCCTGTGTCTGGAGATGCAAGGGCCCACAATATGCTCCATTTATGCATATTCACCCTGCTGGTTAAACTTATTACAGTTACCCACTCAATCCAAAGCACCTGGATTTAGGTGGCTCTGGTTTTTGAGGGGAAAGTGAAAAAATTAATGGAGAACTTGAGTTTGAACAGAATTTCAATTTATGTTTCTGGTGATAATAAAGCCTTCCCTAGATTAATAACTGGGAAAGCACTTTGAAAAGCATCAAGCATTATGCAAATGCGAGGTATTATTCTTTTGGAATTTGCATAGCTGAAAATGGAATTCACGTTTGATGTTCTATGATGATGAAATTACTTCTTGGAAATTGGCTCTGAAACTCCGCTTCAGTCCCAGTGCTGTTTTTGCTTTTTAACTGGTTTAATTATCTTTTGAACTTAGTTCTCAGTGTAGCTTCTCTTCCTTGAAACCAGCCACATGCAAAACCAGGAGCAAATGGTAGCCCTCTTTCCCTGCTGCACCCCACTTATCCATCTCAACGTGTTTCTGTGCTCAGTGATGCACACGCCTTAGTGCCAACACATAGCAGGTGCTTCATAGATGTCCACCGCCATTGTTCACAACCATTTAGGTAACCTAACAACAGAGGAAAATAAGTCTTCAGTGGTTCAGGCATATTTGAAATTCCTTATTAGTATGATTATGAATATATTTTCCCATCAATAGCTATGCTCTGACTGTGGTTCTCAAAGTGTGTCCCGCCTGAATCCTCCAGGTGGTCTCAGCATTAATGTTTAGATTATACACTTTTCTACACATTTCTGTCTTTAGCGTGTGTGTGTGTGTGTGTGTGTGTGTGTGTGTGTGTGTGTGTTTCATTTCTGTATCCTCAACTCCCAGCTCAGTGTCTGACTTACAGCACGGCCTCGATAAATGTTTGATGAACGAATGAATGAATTGCATACGTTAATGTTGCTCTGGTCATGGAAAAGGGCATGTGTCCTGACTGATAAGCTGCTGTAACTGGATGTTTATAATCAGTGTAGATCAGGGAGTCACGGACAATAACACCGCACCATTCAGCAAGGCAGCTCTGCATTTGTAATCTATTCCCGGGGCCATATTAATAACCTGGGTCAAAGACACAGAGATTAGATAAAGGCATGAAGCAGAGGTGGTAAATAGGAAGTGAAAGCTGACTTCCACTTGTTATCGCAGAAATATTTGTTGATCTGTTAATGTACGCCAGGCAGAGAGTGGGAGGCTCTGGTACAAGGTCAGGAAACAGGAGGTCTGGACCAGATGCCCAAGGCTGGGGGATACGTGGAGGTTCTGGGGTAAGCTTGGTGTCCGGAGGGAATAATGCTGCAGGAGAGCAGGCAGCAGAAGGGAGTGGCTACGGCCATGGCTCTGGAGCTCCTGAGTCCATCCCTTGATCCAGCTCAAGGTAACCATCCTCAGGCTCTCGACCCTCCTCTTCCAGGCAGGGCTCTAGGTAGCCTCTGAGCAACAGACTCCAGCTTGAATGAGGTGGGGTCTCCCTCCTGCTTCATTCTCTTAAGAGGTACTTGTGGGAGAAGAGGGGTGCTCAGGGAAAGCTGAGGTGGAGAGACCTCCCCCACCCCCCACAGCCATCTCGCTCCTAAGAAGAAACTATGGAGGGTGGTGTGCCCTGACCAGACTCCTTTGTCTTTCCTTTGAGAGTTACCTTTGCCATTGGGCCAGGTAAGACTGTCATGGAGAGCCTAAACTCTGAGAATGAGGATTATGAGGATTGCTTCTTGCCTCCTCAACCAGCTTGTGAGTTCTTGCAAGGCAGGGGCGAGGTCTCAGATCTCATTGCAATTCCAGAAATTTCTATCCATGGCACAAATGTTCTTCTAGCGTTTGGTTTAAAGGGGGTAAAGTGAAGAAGTACAGCACCCAGGATTTAGGGTTTGGCTCCTGCCTCTTCCAGTGGCCTCATCTCCCTCATCCATCCCCCATATCCTGTTCTGAGAGCGGCCATGTTGCTGCATGAGTCCTTCCTTTGCCCTTGCTAGTCTCCATGCTTGGAATTCCCTTCCTCTCTTTCCTTCAGCACTAAGTTCAGGGGCATCTCCTCATGGAAGCGTCTCCTGTTTGTCCAGGGCACTTACAAGCCCCCACTCAGTGCTGCTTTTATCATCTCTCATCACCTCCCCTCCCCCCAATGCCCAGTATGTAGCACTGGCACATAATAAATACTGGCTATGGGTGGCTCAGTTGGTTAACCATCCGACTCCGGCTCAGGTCATGATCTCACAGTCCGTGAGTCTGAGCCCTGCGTCGGGCTCTGTGCTGACAGCTCAGAGCCTGGAGCCTGCTTTGGATTCTGTGTCTCCCTCTCTCTCTATCCCTCCCCTGCTCATGCTCTGTCTCTCTCTGTCTCAAAAATAAATAAAAACAGTAAAAAATATATTTAAAAAAATTTTTTAACGTTTATTTATTTTTGAGACAGAGAGAGACAGAGCTTGAACAGGGGAGGGGCAGAGAGAGAGGGAGACACAGAATCTGAAACAGGCTCCAGGCTCTGAGCTGTCAGCACAGAGCCCAACGTGGGGCTCGAACTCACGGACTGTGAGATCATGACCTGAGCCGAAGTCGGACGCTTAACCGACCAAGCCACCCAGGCGCCCCTAAAAAAATTTTTTTAAAATAAATGTTGGCTGAAGGCTAATTCCAGCCTCTGATCTCTGCTGGTACTTTTCTTGCCGGTTCTTCTCTGAGCCTTTATAGTTCAGTACAAATCTTAACAGTTTTGCCCACATGAGTCACTCCTTTTCCTGAAAGCCTGTTGTGTTTTCAATTTGTACCAACTTGGTGACTCCTTTTTAAATTGTTGCAGGTGTACTGTTTTTGTATCCCCACCCACCTTGTAGAACAGAGACCATGCCATGTACTTGATAAATACTTCTTAATTGTTAAGCGTACATGTGAATTTGGAAAGAAGACAAAAGAGTTAATTTCGTTTAAAAAGAGACCATTATAAAATAGGCATAGTATATTTCAGTAGTTCTCCTCCAAGTGAGTTTGACACGATTTTCAACAATACTTATTTAAGTTGACAGATATGTGGCTGAGTAGCATGAACTGGGGTATAAAGAGATCAGGGCTACTCCACTGGGGCTGGAAGACGGAGCAGGCATATAGAATATATTAGCTAGGAGCACATACAAAGGTGTATGTACGAAGCACATATGAAGCAGCCTGGAGCCTGCTTCAGATGCTGTGTCTCCCTCTCTCTGTGCCCCTCCCCATCCCCGTGCTCTGTTTCTGCCTCTGTCTCTCTCAAAAATAAACATTAAAAAATTAAAAAAAGAAAGAGTAGCCCAGATATTAATAGTGGTTTTTCTTCATTGGTGGGATTATGGATGATTTTTATTTCTTTTTTTAGTCTTTCTACATCTTCCACATTTCTTTAATGAGTATGAATTACAGAGCAAAAAATTGTTACCTTATGTTATTTTTATGTTTTATTATGTTACTTTACGTTATTAAAAGGAGAAGGAAATTGTTCTTCTCTAGTAGTGAAGAGGAAACCAGTTTTATGCTGTGGGAATGGAGGTTTCGGGGCTATAATCTCACTATTTCCACCACCAGAGTAGAATAGACAAGGGGACTTTAGAGTAATGAGGGAGTTTCTTGGCTAACGAGGCAGTGTGAAAGGTAAACTGTAGCAGTTCCATTAAGTAGTTAAAGAGTCAAAGCAGGTAAATACACGAAGACCCTGGCAGCTGAGAAGTGCTGTCTTACAGAGAGGCAAGGGTTTTTCATGCCAGGCTGCATTTAAGGCTCAGGAGCCCAAGACTCAGAGGAATGAGTCAACTAGTTGTGAAAATAGGACTCAGCGTGTTTGAGAGTTCTGATCAAGTCTCATTCTAAGATAACGTTACGGTAAAATGTTACTGGTGATTATCAAGACTTAAGACTATAATGAAAATCACTGTACCTGGAAGTTTCTTTCTGATAGAGCTTGCTTTACATATAGGAGGACTAGATTCTAATTCTAAACCCAGACCATATCTGGTAATCCAGATAATCTAGTCCCAGACCATATTTAAAAGAAACCATTGCTCCCTGGGATGGAAGGAAGGCTCAATACCCACAAATCAATAACACGAAATACCATATCAACAGAACGAAGGAGAAAAAAAAATCGCATACTCATCTCAATAGATGCAGAAAAACCATTTGATAAAATTCAACTTCCTTTCGTGATAAAAACTCTCAATGAATTAGGTATAAAAGGACTGTGCCTCAACTTGATAAAGGCTGTATATGACAAGTGCACAGCTAATCTTATACTTGACAGTGAAAAGATGAAACCTTTTCCTC